AGTAAACCGAACCTAAGTGGGGGAGGATGTAACGGGTTACATGAGAGTGACCCGTCACTCTCCCAAGGGAGCTGTGGTGTGGCATACACCACATTACTAGATGGGTACATGGCTTGAGAGTCATGTAATAAGAAAACATTAAGGAACACCTATAAATATATTCAGTCTTAAAACTACCTAAATTTGGTTCATGTAATAGTAACGTGTCCTCGGACCAAGGATCTGTGAACTGCTGTTCACTTAGAGTTTGTATACTCTTGGAAGTCAAGCTTCCTCTGTGCAAGGTGCCGTGTGACCCGTCACACATCCGCTTCCACATGTTGCTGAACAGTCTAACATTCTCTTGTATGTATATCTGGTAAAGAAGGATAACTATTCTCTCAATCTTTGTAAGAGTTGCAGCGACAATGTCTATGTGTTATTATCTCTACATGTTACAATGGTTTCAAACCAAACATGTGCACACAGCTTTCTGGCTTCAAAATCTATAAGGTCGCCTCGTCTGCCGCACCCAAACCATTTTGCGTCCTTATTCCGAATATTAGTCAGGATCAGCTATACCGGTGCAAGTAGTTGTATAGGTTGTGACTCATTGACACATTTTTATAGTCTGCACATAAGGGCTTACCCGCTTATATATGTTGAGCCATCGGTACAAGCGCTCATTGGGCAGTCTTCCAAGATGACCATCTGATGTCGTGTCATGTGTCTTGTACACTATTCTGTATTTGAGATCCCCGTCATGATATGCTGCAACATCTTGGATGTCAACTCGTTAACGGTGTAACACTTGCTGGCCCCCACTAAAGACCAACGCCGTCCATTCGACCATCTGTGATGGTCTGCGGAGGACATGTTCAATCTGGCGCCAAGTATATTAAAATGGCGCCAAAACCTCGTCGTTCAGCGTGGATCCTAGTGGCCAGATGCAGTATTACGGACGCATCTTTCGGAAAACCGAATATAACCCTGTGCAATTGGACTGCCAATACTCTGTCGGCCGTGCAAATAGATTACAGCATTTTATGCTGATGAGTCATCAAGAAACTGCAGACGTTCATTTGGTATACAAACACCTTGTTCACCCAAGTACTGATACTCCGTTATACAAATAAAACCATTGCAATATGTAGAGCTGTAAATTTTCGACACGGATAACTTTTATGATCAGAAAAACACATCATGGTAGCAGACTCATCCGACTATGTCAAAGAACTCTCTAGCAACTAAGGGAAGTCTGTCCAGAATTGGTATCGCACAATTTTTATCGCAAATGCCAGGCACCTGGAGATCACATGACGTAGGAATTCATTATAAAAAGCTAAAGAAGCGTTCAAGGTCGTTCGATTTCGGGTATTATTTGCGGAAAATGAATGTTTAAGCTCAAGTTAGCGGCTTCGATCCATGAATACATCTCCAAGTTCCAGCATTTTCATGCTCAAACAGAACTGCCGATTGCAATTAGGACCAGCGTCTTTGCTTTCAGCGTGGATTGCGCGCCGCTACACCTGCCAAGATAAAAAAATGAAGCATATAGACTCGGGACGACAAGATTGCGATGGCAACGAACTTCGAGTTTTCGCATCAATCTAGCAGTTCACAAATCTTACCGCAGTAAAAAAAACTGGCGCGAAGTTTAAAGTCGTTAACGTGGATGGTAGGCAAAGAAGAGCAAGAAATGATAAAAGTAGGGATAGATACAGAGAAAAGATTTTGACGACGATTGAAAAAAAGAAACCATCCGCCACAGATGCAAGCAGGAAGGCCAAATTATATCTGATTGTCTGAAAATTTGCGAGTCATTCAACAAGTTCAGTATTGCGTTCTATGCGATCCTCTATGGCATACTGCAGTCCAGCCAGATAGTGTCAAACTTTATCGACAATGACTGCAGTTTAAACGGCATTTTTTGCAGAGTTGGCAAAGCCAATGAGACTGATCTGTGCTTCAGGTAAACGATTTAAAGCCGTCGTCGCACGGCGGAAATGGCTTTTCGAATTCCTGGGTTTCCGGCAATGTCATTGGTATGATCTAGATCCTTGAGGAAACTCTAGAGACCGAGTCGAAAAGACCATATTGACACCGCGCGCGTCGATGTGCGGTGACCCGCCTATCAAATTGAAGCCTTTCAAGTTTCGTTTTGACGCCAATCGACGCCGAGCTGGTCAGAGTCAAAGCTGTGAAACTTTTAACTTCTCTCAACAACTTGGAACGATGACGATGAACGCATGAAGCTCAAACTCGACAAAGAAGTTTCTGGAGGCAACGCATGACGAAGATGCTGAGTACGTGTTTATGGCCGATCCGCACGATTCAGATAGAACTTCCTGATACTAGCAGCAAGGGTGAGCAGCACTGATGAATAAATGCAGTGCTTGATTGCGCCGCGATACTTTGTTTCGAACGGAAATACCTAGCACAGTATTATCAATTTGTGAAAGTATTGAGCGTTCCATCGAACGCAAGCCTGGCATGAAACATTTGTGACGCCAAGACCCTAAGCAAAATAAATCTTCCATGATTGGACGAAAGAAATGGCCAAAGCTAATTCAAGCGTCGAAAGTGCCTCACCTTTTTCAGCTCCAGCAATTTGGGTCAAGAAACCATTTCTAGCTCCCTGTCCCCCCTCTGTCTGCCATTCCAGGTAGTCGTTAGTTTTTGTTTACGGATCCGTTGTGAAGTTTCAACTTAGTACTGACGATATTTCATCTACTGTGTTGTCGACGCCCGATGGCTTGTTTGGATATCTTGAAAATGTTATAGCGCTTAGTGGTAGTTCTGGTACGTTCAATCGCCTGTTTTAACATGTATCGGACAATATGCGTGATGACATCTGAGAATACCTCAGTAGTGTTGACTTCATCGCACAAAAACAAACATCGCAGATCACATCAGAGTTTTCGATCGTGTACTTCAACGTTATCTGGATTAAAAATGGTACACTAAGTTATCAAATCTGCATAGTGGAAATCCCTTAGTCTTGAAGATTTTGTGGGGAGGAACAGGATCCGTTGGATCCCAACGATATCATGATCATCAAATCTCGGCCACTCCGAAGACTAGAGATTGGTTTGGTACAACAGTGTGTGTCACTCGTTTCTGCACAGACTTTGCCTAGTATGACAGGTCATCTCCACGAATGGATCAGAAGGAAGCGACATAACAAGGCCATCGAGCAGTCTTGATCATCAATTGGCATAGTTCGAACAGTTGAATTTACGACTTTCGTCTCCGCCAGCTCACAAGCGATCAAATCCTTTGGCATTCCCATGGATGCATCCTATTTTGCCTATGGTGGGGCCTTGGCTCAAAAGAAGGGAGAGTCGGAGTATTGCTTGAATTATGGAAGGAAAAAAACGAAGGCAGCTAACCATAGCTTTCCGGTTCGTCAACAATCCGGTTCGTGCGTAAGAAAGCCTTGTAATCATGCACGCTTTGAAAATGTGTATAAACGCTTGATTATCTATTTGCGGTCCACAAGAGTAGTGGAAACATTTTCACTCAGAAGACAACGATCGACGCATTGCAAGATAGTTCAACGAGTGAGCGGATTTCCAGCCCCAGTACAAGTTAATAGTAGGACACACGAAAGAAAACACTCTGTTGGAACCCTGACTTTGATCATATAGCAGCTTAATACAAACTTCAAGATCTCTTCAATGCAGCGGCAAATCGTGCGATTGTGGCTACAATCAAAGCGTTGACTACTTCCATCGAAAAAGCTGCTGGATAATTGTACAAGGTATATCAACGAAAAGAAGCATTTTAGTCTAGCTCGCAGAAGGCGTCATAGTCCCAAAACACACAGTTGACAATGGTTATACTGTCATTTACTTGAAGATGAGGAACCACAACTTTGATCCCGGCCAATGAAGATTTAAAAATCAAGTTATCTTCGAACATCACCATGTTTATCTGCCGGTCTTCCAGGATACTTCAAAACGTACGTGGTAGTTCACAAAATGTGTTGTTAGCACAAAATACACTTGACGTTATGTTAATATCTGTTCGATGTGCAAGCGCAGCAAATAATGGCAAACGAAATCGTCAGTACTACTCGATTTATTCAGTATTCCATTGTGAAGAAGAAACGAATTTTTCATGGAATTTCGGGTGGCATTATTCGAGTCTAAGGGTAGAAAGCACGTAATAATGGTCATCGTTGATCGATCGACTAAGCACGCGAAGTTTATCAAAATATCCACGACTGTAAATGCAGACGATACCAGCGATCTGTTCATTAGTCACTGTACGGTCTTCCTAAACGATTGTGTTTGATTGTGACTCTTACTAAACGTTGAAGTTGTAGAGTTCAGCATCGTTGATTCTGAAGACTCATTACGACCTCTCATCTGTGTTTAGATTACAATTTGACGGTTTCTGGCAAACAAAACAAACCATTTCGTCAAGGATTATATCCGGAGTCTGTCAACCCAGCTCAGACAGACAGAATCGACGTCTTACTGGCAAAGATTGCGTACAACAGCAGAATGCATCCATCCATGAGAATATCTCCCGTTGAAGCTGATCTCGGCTTTACGTCACGTAAAACCCACGCAGAATGAAGTGGCATTCTACTCCAACTGCACCAAGAAGTCATTATCAAGAAGGCGTAAGATGCGATCAGTGAAGTCTCACTATAGCAAGCAATGTCCTACTCAAGACTTTGGCGTCGATTATCTTATGTTGCTGGAGTGAAAAATCGCGGCATTCGGTATGAAGGATTCGATAAAACCAGGTATTTCGCACTTATATTTGTCGGACCATTTTCCATCGTGAGAAAGGTCAACTGTGAAACTGTGACTCTTTTGAGCTCGCCAATGTCGATTGACCTTCGTATCCGCACTACGCTGCTTAAATTTTACTAGAAATCGTACGCGGAAGCAGCAGCTAGCAAAGGTCCTATTTGCTGATTGCACAATAGAATAATAAAGCTGTGATTGGTCATTGTAAACGCAAGCGCGTCAAAATATACCTGGTCCTATATGAGCATCACAAAGGTATGCAATATGGCAAACGATCAATCATGCCGTTACCAAAAATGCTCTCTCAACATTCTTCGCTCGTGTATTGTAATGACAAGAGCTTACTAAACTATACACCGTGCACCGATACGAGTACACTTTGCAGCACATAAGCTTGAATTACGTAGTGTTTACGCTGCTCATTATATCGGAGTGTATCATTGTCAATCCTCACCTGTTTTGACGAGGGCGCGTCGCTATCTACGTGACACTATCATGCATCCCCATGGTATCTCGTTTCTGTAACACTTGGCAGAGGAGACACTGATGCGAGATTTTGATCAAAACCATGCATACGGTAGAATCAGTAGAAAACGGTAGCCTTATCGCTATTTTCCTAGGGTCCGCAGATGACACAAATCCTCATCAATACTGTTCATCTGATCACGTTCTTGCTTTCACTATACAATATATCTGCTCACCTTTTGGATTCCTTTGTCCTGTTGTATCTTGTTTATTCTATGGGAGACCAATATTTCATGGCCACAGTGATACAGACATTCCATTTCTAGAACATTCGACGCATAAAACCTCCCAAGAACTAGACTAGTGATGACGGCAACGTCACGCGACCTTCCTCTGAGAGATGATCCTTGAAGCGAGGCTGCCGTGGCTCATTCGCTTAAAAGAAGCTTAATTAAGGTCGGTGACCTTCGTTCTATACTTAGAACCAGTACGAGTGTAGCGGATCGCAGTGCACTCTCTCCTAGAGTAATGACAACCTTTGCCCAAGGCAAATCAACTCTTCCATTTAAAATGTAAATTGTATCTTCAGTTTTATTGCGGCAAAATCTAAATCTATAGGCTTTCCTATCGTTTTAGTAAAACCTTATTAAATGCATTACTATCTACTAATCCTTGTTTAAGTGTAGTCACACCATCCCGTGGTAGCACCATCTTGTGTGACCCACACTACTATGATCTCACCATCTTGTGTGACCTACACCCTTCCTACTGTGGCACGTAATACAACCCTTCACATTTCAATACTCGGCGATTGATCCATGGATCTGTTTGAGAGCCTCAACGGGTTCCCATGTCGCTTCGCACACAGATTCACAAAGCCAGTGGAAATTGTACATGTCTTTTCCATCTCAAATATTATGCAAATGCTTTTTAGTTTTGTAGATTGATAGATCCTTGGTCTTTTTAACATGAAATATCTGTGGGTTGATTTTTATTTTTGGATTCAGTAGCATAAGAATCATGCAATATGTTCGACTTAACTACATCTAGTTATGCCGTAATAACACGCACGCCGACTGTTGAAACGCGCTCGGCCGACATTATATCAGGCTGCGTGATAAACATCATATTGCGTGGTACTTTCATTGAGCGCGACAACCATTCTATCATTGCTGGACAGAAATTGCCCTGCACCGACACAAAGTCCAGACGAATCTTCGGATAGATACTGTCAAACAAAGCGACTACCTCTCGAAAAGTTGCTAATATTGGAGCATCCAACTCCGAATCTTTAAACACGTGCACAATGCGCAGCGTGTTAGTTTGCTCGTTGCGGCGCACATAGATGATTGCCTTGTTTATAATAGTTAAGTCTGGAGCCTTGCAAAAGAATACAATAGGCGACTCACGAATCCTCACAATTTTGCTTGCAATTGTTCGACCGCCTCGCGCACCAGTGTGTTCAACCTCCAACATATCGTTCGGTATAAGACCAACTTCAACAGCTTTACCATGTTGAGATGGCGCCATCTTTTTCATCATAGCAAGAATGCATCGAAGAATCATCACGCGTTCAAACATAATGAAGATAACAAACATGACGACGATAAAGTAAATGGCGAAATACATGAGAACTTCTGGGTCACCGAGCAAATTGGCAAAGATGGCAACAACAACCAAAACAAAGCCAATGATAACTGCAGTCCATGGAGCGTGAACATCCCGTGGAATCTCGGATCGTTTGGCCTTCAACAACATGCAAGCGCACGAAAACATAGCCATCAGTCCAAGGAATGCGTATGTGTACACACCATTCACCGTGGTGGCATCAGCATTTAAAATGAGTACGAGACTTGACGAGAGAAGAAAGTAGATACCGATAATATAGTGGTTTGTGCCACGCAATTTGTTTGTTCGTGCCAGAAAAGATGGCAATACACGATCCATTGATAAACGTCGAACGAGACCACAAATACCAATGTAAGATGTCAAAATCGCACCGGACAATACAATAAAGGCATCAACACAAATCCAGGATTCGAACCAACTTCCCACGGCTTCCCGACCGACTATTGCAAGAAGGTCATCCGAACTATCGTAGATGCCGCCTGGACCTTCTAGCGGTAAGACTGCGAGGATTCCAGCGCCAAGACCAACATTGAAAAATGTTACGAGTGCCCACATGTTGCGAAGAGTCTGGCGAAAGACACCAGGTTTCTGCTCTTCAACAAAGTTTGACGAAGATTCAAATCCTGTGATACCCAGCATTGATGCACCAAATCCAAAGAAAATGGCTGTCAGTACATTTCCATCGAGCATAGAACCCGCAAAATCAACTTCAGGGTAGCCAGTGTGCATGTTGTCACGAAAGACGTGAGGATGCTGTATACCATAGACCACACACGACACGAAAAGAATAACTAGCACGACAATATGGTGAAGAAAGATGACGACGGCAACGCGAGAGCTTTCGGTAATACCAATCACCGTAAGTGCAGCAAAAGCCCCCAACAAAATGATAGTCGAGCCGACAATGGGAATGTCAATCAAATTATTCAAATATCGAACACCAGAAGTAGCCGAAACGACGCCCGTTGCCACGTACGACAATATGCTGAGACAGGCAGCCACTGCTGCTGTGCGTTTTGATGTTGTATTTAAAAGAGCATTATAAGTTCCACCATTCATTGGAATGGCCGTGACTACCTCCTCGTAAATAAATCGAAAGAAGAAAAGTACAGTGGAAACCATGAGCAACGGAATAGGCATCAATTTACCAGCTTTCGCTGTCACTGACGACGCCGAGTAGAGCACACTGGATAGTATGTCGTTGCCCGAGATGGAAGTAGCTGGTAGCTGGCTCAACAGCTTTTTCGGTTTGTTTAACTCGTTTTGAATCGCATCTAATTCATCGTCTGGTACTTGTACATGCTCAGAGCTACCAGCACCTGGAAACTGCCACGTAGGACCCTTAAATGCACCTTCGGTAATCTCAATCTCAATCTTACGTCGTCGTATATTTGCACCATGAGTCGTGGTGGATGGATGTGGAAGACTTGGTGATAAAACCTCTCTATAGGCCGCAGGTGGAGTTTGTACACTTCGGTTAGCGCTTTCACCTTCGCCATTACTTGACCACATTTGTTATCAATCGTTTGACGTTGACCTGGTGAGTGGAGAAATGGTTTTTTATTTGTGAGATAGGGCATTTGGAAAAATACCATGATGTCGTCTTTCCTAAAAACAATTAGTTAAAAGAGCTAGAGCAGGAGGGTCATCCCGTACATCACAATAAAATTGTGTCTTGCGGGTTTATACCATGTGGTGGTCTACTTGGACATAGTATGTTTCTATATATAGGATTTGTCCAGTTTTCACAGAATCTGCTCTTATCATGCTTTTTAATGTTTATGAATTTCTTGATAGTGACACATCAATGAGCATACTTGGAAGCTATCTTTGAAGTGACTAGTCGGTAACATTGGATGAATACTTTTATTCAACGGTATTGTTCGAATATTCTTTGTAAGGTTCCTTGTCACAGAAATGCGACTTCGTACATTATGAAGATTGGTATTAGCTATAATATTCCAAGTTAGAAAATCTCAAGAGCTTTTGGTAGTAAATATCCCTGTTATGCCCAGGAAGTCAATTGTATCAATTGAATCATTCGTACTTTGTCCTGGGTATCTCAGCATATCCTCCGATTAGGCTAAATTTTCAATGCAACGTCTATCATCTTGTCGTAAACATCTAGTACCACATGCTTGCTCTTCTAATCATAGAGAAAAGCTGACAGACAATATTGACTTGTGACAAAATACATTTTTATTGGAATTCATCACTTGCGACACTTAGCTCTGTTGGGTGGACACTTCCTCTACTAAGGTTGCACAGACCGACCATATCCCCCCCTCAGAATCACTACTTTAAATTTTGAAGATACCTTCTGTTATAGTTTTACCCACCACATGGCTCATCAAATATTGATCTCTTGAGAAAGTCCAGATACCTTGTCGACGAATTTTGTGTCAAAGTTTTTGATGTTGTGACTTCGTGTACAAGTTTTGTTTTTCTCATGCTGTGACCAAACATGTCTGTACTTTTAACTTCACCTGGTTATATTCATTCACATGTTTACTCTTATTGCTTTAAATTAGTCTAGCAACATCAATATGCCTTAAGTCGTTCCAGGAAATTGTTGACGGATATACTAGATCAGCCGTCTCTCGTACTGAACTCGCTTCGCTTATCTGGTAAACAAATATGCTTGTAAATCGAACACTTGTCAGCTTCATCACCAAGAGTGGTAGAAGGTCTTCAGCTCCAATCAAGTACTTTGCATTTACAACCAAAAACCCATTACCATAGACAGCGTCGACAGTTGCAGCAGGACGATTATCCCACATAGTGTAATCTTCATAATCGGATATGATCCCAGAGCGTTTGCTTAAAGCTGCACCTGTGGCTACCTCGAAAGATGTGAGTTTCATTGGAGGTAAGTTCTTCGTGTAAACACTCGATCGTTCATTCTTGCCACTTTTCTTTGACTTGATATATCGAATTGCTCTCTGGACTGCAATGAAGGCAGCAATCAGTATGATTGGAGAGAAGATCGACAATGCTGTCAAGAAGACGACTGGATGTCGACCACCGACAACCTCGTTAGCCGTTATGAGGTTTAATGGTGATAATGCATCTAAATAAGGCGTTGCTTCCACTAGCCCATCTGTTAAGTCGGCCAAGGCAAAGCCCGAAACTCTACTTTTTGAAATAGGAAATAGCTTCACCAGCTCAACTTTGTACTGCCAACTAAGTTCGAATACTGCAATAGCAAGCAGTGGAGTCACACGCTCCTGTGTGGCATAACATAGAACAGTTAAAGCACACAGGAATACTGCCAGCAAATCCGCGTGTACAAGCTCTGGGCGATAGTAGATGACGTCGAGACCCGTGATAGAATCTCCAATGAAAATACACATTTTCGTGATTGTCCAGAACCCGTTCATAATGTTACACAGTATTACAAGTAAGCCTCGAAATATGAGAGTTCTGGAAATCGTGCTAAATGCATCTCCAACCCAAAATTGGCCAACGCGTATGCGTCGAAACATTATGAATGACAGCACGCCGAAATTGAAAATGACCTCAAGCGCAAAAAGGCCATGAACAGCGTGTGTCCAAGCCCAAGAATCATGAGACACAATATGACTTTGCCATAACATGCTTCCTAACTCGGCCGCTGGATTAGTCGGTATCTCCCAGTGCGACATTTTAATGTTCAATTGAGACGTTGGATCGCTTAAATAGCGTCCAAACCGACGCACTGTACGGGCATCCTTCGCAGGGTCCCGGGTCCGTGGGTTTGCAAGGGTTTGAAGCAGCCAGTGGTTGTTCTCGTCGATTCCATTAAGCTTTGAATACGCGAACTCTGGTTCAGCCACGTACGGATAGTTATACGCGATGGCGATGTCGTGAGTAATTGTTGTCGCTCGGACATCATCAATCGCTGCTACGAGAAGGAGAGTAGCAGGTCCCTGCTGGTGCTGCTTGTCAATTACGTAATCTTGAGCTGACAGAGACGTTGATAATAGCATCATATGTGTAGAATTATCATTTCGTCGAACTAGATAATATACACGGGCAATACTTGTATCACCAGCTGTGAGCAAGTCAAACGTACAGTCAATCACCGGTGCCACTAATTCCAGGTCCATCACGTATGACAAGTTGTAGGAAGCATAACTTTGAAGTCGAGAAAATATGAATCGTAGGAACGTGTTGCTGTAAATGTCAGTGTTATAGTTTGGCACATTTGAGCACCCGGTTGTGGATTGAATCAACGTTGACTCGAGGTAAATCGAGGTGTGAAGGGGAGAAGTAGAGCCGTTAAGTACTTGCTGAACAAGAGGACTTGCTTGAATTGTTGAATTACCAACATATTCAAGAATCAGACCAGCCTTATGTGTCTCAATCGGTAAATTGTGCGATAGGGATCCGAAAAGAATGCTCATTGCCGTCAAAAATGAGTGTATAGATATCTTCAAATAGAAAATGGCGACAGCAAACACCGCCAGTCGATGAAGAATCGGAACAAACCGGACAAGGCAATTGCAACTGCTAGTAAGTGACTGTAAAAATTCGCTGACTCTTGAGGATCCTAAAAGCTTGTCGTTCTTTTGGCTTACCATCTTTCGAACTTGAAGTCTATCTGTCTGGAAAGGTGTTTGGTGAAAACGCTTTGCCTTTTTGCTTCCTAACACTAATTGAGTTTTGGCTTTGCAGTCGCAGCACAGCTATTTCTGTTTTCGTTTGCGTCTTCTCTGTGATACTAGCTTTAGCCCGACACGTCGTCCTCGCCATAAAAGCGACACTAAGACGTGTGGTAGGTACTCTATCTATATATATCTACTTCGCACTTGAGTAATCAAATTATGACATTACATGAATGAGTGGTATGAATTTTGACGAAAGAATTAATTCATTAATAAATTGGTACAATACAATCATATCATAATCTTACAATAGTATTGCAGCTGTACTATCTACACATAGAAAGGCACAAACCGCAACAGCTTTCTCAAACGGTGTATTAACCTGCTTGTCTTATCCACCACTATATGTATCACTTACTTCACCGTTATTATGACACTATATAGGTCTAAATTTTTAAATTCTTGAAGCACATTACCTCACATGGATGTTGTACCAGAGTCAACAGATTTGCATCGACAATACTGCGTCATCGTCGTCACTGTAAAAATAGACTATAAGCTCCTAGAGCAAAATTAAGAAGAATGATTCATGCAGGCAAAAAAAAAAAAA